CCCCCAATGGTGCACACGTCTCTTGGTCGTGTGCGTGAAACTTAAATGTTAAAATTGTCAGAGGTAACGAGAGCAAGCGGAGCCTAAAGTGCATTCATGTCATAGCTTTTTAAGTTGGTCCCAGCTTTTGTTGCTCTTCATTTTAGTGATGTGAAAGTATTTTGCATAGTGCATTGTGTATTTACGTTGTTTATAGTACAGTAACGACTTTGCTGTGTTCTTAATTATTCATAATAGTGGATTATTGTTGTTGTTATTGTTTTATGCAGTTTTGCACATGTAATGCATATACTTGAGTTTAACGTATTTGAGAAGCTTTGCAGAGTAATCAGTAATAGTTTATCATCTAATTAGTTAATGGACTGGTTGTCTCAGCTCTGCATTCATAACTTTGTATGTTGGTGAAATATAACTTCTTTGTTTTGTTGTTTTTATAGACCTTGAATGGAAGATCATCTACGTTGGCTCAGCAGAGAGCGAAGAGTATGACCAAGTCCTCGACTCTGTCTTGGTTGGTCCAGTACCTGCTGGGAGACACATGTTTGTGTTTCAGGTATGTTTCGTAGGGGCAAACTAGCTGAAGAAAGGTTTTTTGTTCCTTTAGAGATATAGTATATAGTGGTCATTTTATATCAAGTAGTTATATTCTGTTAAACTTTTTCAAAATCACTAATTTCATCCCCTTGAACTGTTCTCCTCCTCCCCTGTGTAGCTTTCTAATTGTTCACAGAGCAGTTTGACGGGTCAGAAATTACAAATAGCCCTGTCTACATCTTTCAAACAACCAAGAGACTATACTGCAGTTTCTATTCTCACTACCTCTTCATCCATGTGACAATAATGCAAACTTAGTTGTTTCACATCATGCTTTTTTTTTTTTTTTAGAGCCATAAAACTGGAGGAGACGCAGTCTGTAAAGAAAGTAGAGCCCAACTAATATATTATCTGACGTTAAATCAATGAAGATATATATGTATTGCCATATTTGTTACCTGATAAATGACAAGAAATTGAAGTAGAAAAGCCAAATATTTTGAAACAGTGTCATCATTCTATAGTTTGGCCACCAGAGGATAGTGACACGTTTATTTCTCAATATAATGTCCTACCTAGTACATGTCTTGGTCTCAATTATTCAAAAACACATTTTTGGGAACCTTGTCATAAATGTTTGTTATGGTATAAGAAAATAAACTTGATATTGGAATCTGCCTCAAAAATTACAGTGGGGCTACAGTGGTTACTCAGCATCTGATTATAATGCGCTGACGACTAATGTGAGAAGAATGAAACTCCTGTTTTAGTTTAGCAAAAACACACAGTTGTGTTTGTTCATAGTAAGCTAACGCAGGCCGCCTCCAGCAGCCTGGTCAGCAGGACGTGGGGGGATAAGTGGGGTAGGAACAGTCGGACATGCCGTAATCCCCAGTGAAAAGTAGACTGTTTATATTCACAAATTAATATTTTTACACATCTTAGTGTCGTTTCTTTTCTGTATAAAAACAGCTGTACATACAACTATCATTCTTTTTACATTATTTCTTGTATTTGTCTATTCTATTTATACATAATGTGTATTTTCTTCCCTGTTGTGTTGTATCTGGAGCTGCTGCAGTGAGTGAATTTCCCCAGTGTGGGATCAATGAAGTCCATCTTATTTTATCTTATCTTTTAACAGGCTGATGCCCCAAACACTGGATTGATTCCTGAAAGTGATGCTGTCGGTGTAACTGTGGTGCTGATCACCTGCACGTATCGTGGCCAGGAGTTCATTCGCATTGGTTATTATGTGAACAATGAGTACACAGACCCAGAGCTTCGAGAAAATCCACCGATCAAGCCAGACTACACACAGGTGAGACTAATGGACAGGCTACATTGAACGTGTTACGTGTGCGGGGACTTGAAACGTGCTACACCGGGCGTGTAAGCGAGCAGCTTGTAAGTGATGCATATGGGCCTTGGAGATTCGCTCAGCAATTTTAAAAATGGAAAAGTCTTCTATTTATGTTTATACGATGTATATAGAATTTGAAACAGCAGACTGAATGGCAGGGAAATGACAGATTGCTTTTAACTTTATTCCTGACAGCCTGCTTCAGTCTGTAGGTGTTAACTTACCCATATTACATAAGCACGGTAAAAGGCTGAAATTTCACATTAGCTGGTGCTAAAAATGAAAAAACAGTCCCAAACGAAAGCTCGTCGGCTTGTTTTGACACTTGCACACAGAATCGACGAGTATATAATCCAGATCTGTCTGTCACTGTTAACAGAGACTCCAGTCTGCAGAGCAGTTCATACATTTTCACTGATACACCACAGAATAGAGTAACATCAGGCTTCATGATCAAAGAGTTTTTATCGCATCCACACTCCTGTCTGTATTCACACGTTCCCTCTCTCTCTCTCTCGCTCATTCACATGAAATGTCTGTCTCTGTCTCTCTTTGCGGTGAGTCTGCATCACATAACTTTTTTTAAAAATCAATTAATGGTTTTACAGTGGCTGCTTTTATCGGTTGCTGCATCCATCCCGCAATTCCTGCACCGAACGTGCTCTGCAGGTGTAGCCGGTAACAAAACACATTCCGCAGCACATCCGCTCCTCTTACATTACATGTCTAATGCAGTCAAAGCGTAATGGTTGATTTCTGGATAATATGTTCTGTTGCCAAAGTTATGGCCTAATACTTTTTACACTCTTTTGAAATAATACATTGGATCATATTTAATGTTTGTATAGTGGTGGTGGGTTGACTTTTTATGGCTAAATTCCTTCAAAACTCAACTACAAAAATCACTAATACGCTACACAACCCTAGCATTTTAAGAACAAATGGCAAGAACAAAGGACGTCATCAAGTAGCATGGAGCACTAATACATTGTAGAATGGAAGCTTTCATTTCTGTTGAGCCTGCACTTTGGAACAATTTCTTTATAATCCTATCAAATTCCCTTTGTTATGTAACTCGTTAAGCATACAACTTACTATTCTGTAAGCAATGTTCTTGATTCAGGCGGAAACCTCCTTAATAAGCCACAATGAGTTTTGCTGTAATGACGAAGGATTTTGTTTGTGGTTGTCACATTTTCAAGGTGGTTGACATTGGGAATGAAACTTTTAAAGAGCGACTGTGTATGTAACGCGTAAAAGACAATACTGGAGTTATTGGATATTTAAGTATAATGTAGGTTGGGTAGGTAGGTAGTTGTTTGATTATAAATACCATTTGGTACCTTTGTCCCATTCTGATCTACAGGGTTCACTTTTTATTTTTTTTTTGCATCTGAGTCTAGATGCCAGATGAAGTGGGATACTCGTTAATGACTGCATTTTACTTGCACTTAATATTTCGATCTTTTTTTCTTCTTCAGCTCCAGAGAAATATTCTGGCATCAAACCCACGTGTTACCAGATTCCATATAAACTGGGAAGGCTGTGCGGAGAGAATGGAAGACTCTGAAAATGTCGATCCCACGTCAAACTCCATGCTCCCTCCGTCCTGTCTCCCAGGCAAGGCCCCGCCGTTGGGGTTACTACCAGATAACTCTATGGACTGCTTATAGAATCAACCCCCGCCCCAAAAGGTGATGACTCGCCGCACAAGACCTTATTTTGGAAGAATGCCTGTGGACATTCTAGCGTGGATGTACAGACATCTTTGCCTTACAGTCCTTATTTAACTCTCTCCTTGGTCTTCTGACGAGTGTTTGTTTAGAGGAAGATTAAGAACCAATCACCACCAGTATAATCCTCACCTATAGATGGGAGTTCCTCACCATGATGTGGAAGGCAGTATTGAAGTAGTTTAACTCACGGAAGGGAAAGCGGTAACTATGAACAGATACAGCTGAACTGAAGCAGAACGGAAAGCTGATGTGTGATTCACCTTCCTTCCTTATGTTGGTGCAGAACTGTTTTTGTACCCAGGATTTCAGCACTGAAGCAAGCAATAGGCAAATAAATTCCAATATGTTGCTGTACAGGAATTTGTTAATCTGCCATTATGTTTGTGTTCAAATTCCTTTTGCACTTAGGCTTATTCCCACTTATATTTTGGAGTTGTTGGTTTGTTTGTTTTTTGTTGCAATGTTGTGTTCCAAATAAAAGAACATTGTATTTGTTATTTATCTGTGTATGAATGTTTGTGTTGAGAGTGAGAACTGTGCTCCTCCCGAGTACTTATCCTAGCTTATCTTCACTTTTCCCCCCGATTTTCATAACAGAAGCAGGAAAACAATAAAAACCCTATTTTCGGATGCATCTGTACTGAAAACTATTGCCCTCGTTAGGAATGTACCAAACAAGAACTTTAATTTCATTATAAGGTTAAACGCAACACAGTGCCAGTTGTGTAACACAAATATCAGTACGAGTATCTCCTTATATTTTTCCCATTTTACTAAAAATAGCCCGTGCTAACGTCACATCCAATCGCAGATCAGTCGGGTAAAAGGGGGTGGCTAGGCTACAGTACTGACTTTGGAAAATACTGCTTTGCAAACAGGATGAGGATCACAAGATGCGACTGCGTTTGATTTATGTTCTGCACGAAACTCACGTCTCATAAATATCAACAGCTGATAAATTAAAGGAAAAAAGAAACAAGTACAGTTACAGTCATGGGCGTATTGGAGCCTAGCAAGTCCGGGAGGCGGGACATATTGATTCGACGCACCAATCGCATCGGGGCAATGATTGGATGTACTGACGCTTATCCAATCAGCGACGTCTCTCGGCTAAGTAGCTGTGCGTGTAGCCAATCAGAGCCCGTCAGGGGCGGGACCCGCTGGATGGATGACTGGAGTTTCCCTTGCGGTCTGAAGATTAATGGAAGGGGTCTGTTGATCTTAGGAATCGACTATCAGATGGTCGGTCCCAGGAAGCCATTGCACTTGATGCCTGGTCTATAAACGAATGGAGAGCTATCCGATTTGAAACAACCGACTGCGGGGGGAAAACCGAACAACCTGGACACCACTTTTGTTCGCTGAGTGTCCCCAGAAAAGGCCTGCCCACACAGAGACAGCACCTGGTTGGTTCAGGCCAGGAGACGACTGCGAGGGACGCTACGAGCTAACGCTAGTCTGCTCGTTGCATAGACGGAAACAGCCTTTCGACGACCTGTCAAATGCTCTGGACTTGATTGTGGACACGCCGAAGCCGTCTCTGGGAATAAAAGGACACTCGATTAACATCTCGTTTCGGGGGATTTGACGAGCTTTAAAACACTGCAACGCCAACAACCACTGGCCATCTCTGCTAGAGTTAGCCAGCGTGCTAGCCCAGAGCTAACCCAAAGCGTTAGTGTCCACTGCACACTCGGATTTACTCGCTCGGTTGGGAGTGTTTCCCAACTCACTAAGTGAAGGTGTTGGAGGAAACACATTTGCACTCGTTAGTCAATAATGGTAGCCGTCAGCTAGTAGCCAGCTGTCAGCTTCATTGAGCCCAGCGACTGCGTTTTTTTTTTGTTTTTTTTATTATTAAGCGGTGTAGCATCCCTCAACGACTTGTAAAGGAAGAAATCAGTCCGAGCCCAGAGACTCCACCATCAGCCTGCCATCATGGGCAACACGCCCACCGCAAAGAAGGGCAATGAGATGGAGAGCGGTGAGTACCCTTTAACCCGTAGCTGCAGCAGCTAGCTGCTGTATAATCGTTGTTTCCGGTTTCCTATAATGGCAAGCGAATTTTAAAAAAAAAAAAAAAAAGGTCCAACCTAAAAGCACCTGGATAATGCACCAAGGCCCAAATACCCCCTCCACAGTGACACCATATTACATTGCTTTCGACACCCTGTTCTAATATGGAGAAGTGTGTAGTCCACCTTAGATGACCGTTCACATCCACCTATGAACTTGAGCCAAGCAGGTTTTTTTTTTTTTGTTCATCTGGACTGAACAGCAGAGGATGTTATTCATTCTCTCCGCCGATTTTGTGGAAACGCTCGTGATTTAAAGCCCGGGGTTATATTCAGAGGTACCAGTGAGGATGACAACAACTAACCTTATACAACAGTCATAGGTTTTTCTGTGTGGGTCATGTGTTTGAGATGGGTTTTTTTCTCTTTCTCTCTC